AGAATTGCTAGGGTGTTAGTGATTCTGGAATTGAGATTGATCTGGTTTGATATTGAGTTGTGTCATGAATTTGGTATTGATTATTGTTATGGATTGAGTTATTGAATGGTTTACTTGGTTCATTGTCTTGTTTTCCGCTGTTGATTGACTGGTTGATTGGATTATTGAAAACTAGCATTTATGGGAATGATATTTCGAATCCAATGTTTAAAAAAAAAAACGGGTTGGGTAGTTTCAATAATGATCTTTTTAACTGGTAAAATTTATAGAGGTGTGATTACATATGTAATTATTAAATAAATACATTTATGATGTTTGGTTTCATACATGTACATCCCTCGAAGATACAACACTAATTAATGTTGTAATATATCATCTAACAATAGTTACAATATTTGATATTTTCAAAAGGTGATGAAGTTACAGTGGTTGAGAAAAAACAAATCTTAGAAAAAATCCGTCTACGTGGTACAATGGCTGTGAATCTAAGACCAAATACAAATATCGAGGTAAAATTAGTGTAACCATCACTAAACTTTTATTTTGCAAAGCTCTAATTAACTTTTAATAAATTATAATGCAAAGAGACTCGTAAATTATGAACATGTAGGATCTCGCTAATATGATGGCAAAAGGTTCAACGTGCAGATGGGGAAATTTCTTAGGTATTCTTATATTTCCTTTATGGATAAGATCTCAGGATGATCCATTGGAATATGTACGAAGAGCCAAAGCTACTATGGATAAGAAAAAATTATCACTGGAATCACTTATATTCTATGGGATCATCAAATTTACCATGAAAATATATGGAGAAAAGGTAAAATACAAAATCTTTATCAACTATTAGTCCTTATATATATACATTTATCTATATCGAAGATTTACCATGATTACGAAAAACAGGTCGTAGAATTATGACTAAGAGGATATTTGGTCACACAACATTGACATTTTCAAATGTGATGGGTCCAAACGAAGAAATAAGTGTTTTTGACCATCCGATGTCTTACGTTGCAGCGAGTGCACTGGTTGGACCACAAGTAAGTATAATCATGAGATACTTGTATATTGTTTTTATTTATTTGTGAACACATAAATTTTTTATGAAAGTAATTAACATATGTTTACGTTTGTTGTTGAACTAGGCTTTGATTATTCATTTTGTAAGCTACGTAAACAAAGTCGTTATTAATATAGCTGTCGACACAAAAGTGATTCAAGACCCGTACTTACTATGTGATGATCTGGTAAAGTCGCTCGATATCATTAAACTTGCTATCTTGGAGAAAGGACTTCATAAAATGGAGGTTTGTTCCTCGGTAATTTTAAAACTCGCGGAAATCACGCGAGTGAATCTCACTCGCGGCGATTTCTCTCCCCAAAACACAAACCTCGTTTCTTCCGCCTCTTCTCTCCGCCTGCCTCTCCGGTGGTCGGTTACGACCGGCACCGTGAGAGGGCCACCATCTTCTTCCCCTTTTTGGTCTTCTGTTACATAGGCTCTGGCCTCCTGGTTCCTCTTGATCTGAGCTGCAGTTAGGTGGCGAGTGGGTGGTCGACACACCGTATGAGACGGCCGCGTCTGGTTACGAGGTTCTCTCCGCCGTGGCTCCTTTGCTAGCTGGTTGCTTTGGGTTGCCGGTGGAGAATTGCTTGAATCTGTTACCCGCCTCTTATATTTGGTCCGGTGTGGATCTCTTGATCCAAGTCCCTCCCAAGCGATTCCGGCGTCGGAGTTGGGTAAAATTGGGTGCGGAGCGGCGTCTGCCCGCCGATCTCTTCCCCCTCCGGCCACTGTGGACTTCGCAATCTTCTGAGGCTCGCCTTGGAAGCTCCGCCACACTTCGATCTTCTTCTGGTCGTTCGGCCATTCTCGATCAGGCTCTTCTGATGGGGGTCGGTTGTGGTCCCGATGGAGACTAGCCCCTGTCCCCACCATGAAGATCGAGGGTTGTCGTCTAGGGCTGCGTTTTTTGAGATTCCAGCTCCGGGTTGCGCTTCTCAATCCGGTGATTACTGGGTCCCCTCTTCTCTTAGTTCATGCCCCCTTCGATGTGATGCAGTTTCGGGATTGAGTTTGTTGATTTGGGGTTCGCTTATTGACGATGTGGCTCGCGGTTTTGGTGTTTCAACGGTGAGTTCTCTCTGCGGACAGCAGGGATGCTTTTCTTTGGAGTGGTCATGGATATACGAGTGTGAGGTTTTGTCAATGGCGCTTTCTTGGGTTACAAATGGTCCCTCGTAGTGGTGGTTATTGTTGCGGTTTGCTTCTGGTGGAGGCTCCTAACTGCTGCTCTGGGCTGCTTCTACGTGTATCAGGTCTAATCGGTTGGTAAAGCCTTGGTGTCGGTTTTGTCTCACTTTCTTGTTGTGGTGTGGTTGTCGTTGGCTAGGCTTAGTGTTGTGATTTGGTTTGATTCTGTTAGATGCCTTAGAGGAGTTGTAAATCCGTGTTCGGCGACACAATCTTGGGATGTATCTAGCTCTGTGCTAGCCTTTTTCGAGACCTCGGGTCTGTTCTAGGAAGGGGGAGCTCTCGTCGTTCACGGTTAGGGTAGTGTGGCTTCGGCCTAATGCTAGCTCATGGTCTTGTGTTGAGCCTCATTTGAAATGCTTCTTTGGTTTTTGGCGTGGATCGATAGGATTATGCGATTTGCTGCGCTACTTCACTCCTTCAATAGGTTAGGAAGAACAATTACCATCGGGATCACTTCGTCTAGCTCCATTACCTCTCGGGTTAATGTCGAGCGGACGGACTGAAAAACGAATCATTGCCTTATGTTTTCCATGTTTTAATTTTTTTTGCCATGGATTCATATGCTAGGTTTTATAAATTCTGCTTGTAAAACCAAAACTTTTTTATTGTCTAATGAAATATTTACCATTTAGAAAAAAAAAATGGAGGTTTGAGACATGTATTCCTCGATGTAAAAGTGAAGTTGGAAAGATAATCTGGTAAAATTTATAGTAATGTATTATGTTTGCTTAGTTTGATCTCAATGAAGGGTTCTCTCCAATCTATGATGTTTGTGCCGCTTTCTTCTCATTCGAATTATTTTAATTTTGAGCTTCTCTTTCGTACTTTACATGCAGGGCCTTGGGTCCCCAAAATTTCTGATTTTTTAATATGAAAATAGGCTTCCAAATTAAAAATTTATTTATAAACCCCCTAAATTTTTTTTTGTTTGGTTTAGGGCCCCCAAAATCTTAGAACCGGACCGGTCTACATGCCCAAACTATATGAATATTAATTAATGTGACATTGACCCTAAAAAAGAAGCAATAATGCGATAACTATGATTTTTACCAGCTTTACATTGGTCTCATTCACATTAGTCAGGTGAAGCATGTTTTTAAACAAGACGTTTGCTAGTGTTGGTGAACAAGTGTTATGAGATCAGTGTTGGAATACCAACAATCGATGATGCGAATATTTTCAAGAAGGTTCCTTGGTAAATGGTAATGGAAGTTGATAAACCATGACGTCCTCCCACATGAAACCACAAGAATCTTTTTGTCCAGGGAGGAGTGCGTATCCGTTGAACAAGGAAGACGAACTACATGCACAATTACCAAGGACGTGACTTTACAATTATCCGCTTCCACTGGTAAAGAAAAGTTGTCTATATAGATATTGGTAGGTATCTATAAAATGGCTCAATTTGTCTTACAAGTTTGATCTGTTGACATGCTTTTCAATTTGATTTTATGAACTTCAAAAGTAGTGTGGGAAATTGTAAAAAAAAAAAAATCGCAACTTTCTTCATTTAAATTTGGATTATGTCATGACGGTTACACTCGTATAAATTTTATAAATTACAAATCTCAATCATTTTATAAATCAGTCTATTATAAATATAGTCCGTATTAGCTGTGTGTAGTKGATACACCTACTTCTTTTTACAACTAACCTAATAAATTTTATTTTTTGAAAATTTAGTATGAACACATGTACATGTACCACATATATATAGATATGATGGAATGTGCACCAGAAGATATGAGACACTAATTAAAATCAACTTTGTATGGTCCACTTGAGTTGCACTATCAAATTCTTGCAACAAATTAATAATTAATCAGGTAGTTCTAAACGGGTCACAAGATCAACAACTTAAAATATCAAGTAATCTAAGATTTCGTTATGAACTTATATATGACCTATGAGATCAAATAATGTGTAAATGCATTTCTGGATATTTAATTGATTACAAAATCGGTTTGCTCTATCTTGCCACCAATTTGCCACGCCAACAAAAACTCAAAACGAAAATTGGTTGTAAATTAGTTGCTAAATTTGTGACTACCAAATA